AATCGATGTCGGATCCTCAGTGTCGGAATCCTATGAACTTCCGATGACATACAACGGTTTTTCCTTGGAATTCATAGGAATCCGACACTGATGATCCAACATCGATTCCTCGACCCGGAATCCAACGATAATCCTGTAAGATCGGGCAAGATCCGATAAAGTCTTATAGGATTCCAGTCGGATCGGATAGGTTCCGATAGATGTCTATTGTCGGATTGCTCGACCTGGGCCTTCCCCCGGCACGGTGTCTTTAGTGTCAAGATATACGGTATCGGAAGAATAAACAAAGGAAGAACAGTACTGCACGCCAATTTCGTCATCACTGCCTCGATTTCGACTTTCGTTGTGTTGTTTACGTTTTCACGTTTCTCTTCCTTGTCATCCTTTCTCTGTTTGTTATCGTGTAGTTTTGTCTGTTAACTATTGTTTCCATAAGCGTCCACAAAAATCACAAAAAATATATAAATAGATGTCACGAATAAAATAGTGCATAAACAAAAAAAACATCTTCAAATCGTACAGTACGAGTGGTTGATAACGTAAAACAAGAATTCTCTTAAACAAACTTTCGAGTTACATTTAAAAACCAAAATAAATTTCTTCGCAAACAGACTGCTTGCTTGCTTCTGGAGAAAGATGTGAGTTCATGACCCGCTGATCGATTGTCGCACGTTGAAGAACAATAATGTTTTCGTTTTCAACTATTTCCGTTTAAATAACAAAACTTGATATTTATCTATCATATTGTAAAATTTTCTTTGCATTACAAAAATCTTGGTAAATGCAAGTCGCATATTTGTAAATACATGTATATTCATAATTCTACTGACATCAATGGATAAAAATGGCAACTCGAAATTATAAACACAAAAAATAAGAGTTTCCGGCGATACTAGAAATCAATGGAAATCGCTAGAAATTACAGGAAATCACTAGAAATCATGAAATCAGTTTGTTCCCCCTTGATCGAGTTGCAGAATTATGATGAAACCCTATGGGAATCAATCAGTGACCATAATCACATCATTTTGTGAAACTCACGCATATTTTCGAACAGAATACTGAATGTAAGTTGTATCATCAAAATTTGGAGACCTCTCCAAAGCCTCAGCAGCCAGGTAGACTGCAAAAAAGTCTATTGGGTAGCTCTTCTACACACCGATGGGAGAAAACAACCCTGAAAAAGGAAAAATGACTTATAGTGGTATACTGTCTAAGCTGTGTAGACTGATGTTGGTATCAGTGTAGGAATACATCATCTACTAATATTAAACTGAATAGAGTATGTTCACCGTAGCCTGTTTGTGTGACCATGACTATGAAAAGCCATAAAAATTCTGACCTGTAGAAGGTTGTATTAAGTTGATCATTGATGTTTCATCTTCAACGCTATTCTGTTGACTCTTAATATATAGAATAGTAAATCAAATCGATTAGTACAACTACGAGAAACACTTACGAACTCTAACTCTTCATTGATTGATGCTGTTGATTGGTCTAAGTCATTTTCATTTACCTATATTATAAATACCAGTATGCCAATGATTTCTAAAAGTGTGAGACGTGGCCGAATTCTACTTCATACATAATTCTGATTACACTCATAGCAACGTATCGAAATTCTAGTATATGTTGATTCAAATTGTTTTAAATTTGAAATGTTTTATCCAATTTCGATTTCGTGTCTGATTTCATACGAAAAGCAGAAATAAAAGACAGCCACAAAAAACCTACCGTAACTTCGTCAATTGTAATGAGCTCAGAACATTGTTGCTCGAACACATAGAGGAGCTTTTGACATGTTGGCCTTTCTTTAGGGTCCTGCGCCCAACTCTGTGTAATAAGCTCCGCAAAGTACTCGGGTACATTTGCCGGAATATCCAATCGGTCTCCATCTTTAACAAATGTCCTAATTGTTGATTCATCGGCATCTTCGTATGGTTCACATCTGGTAGCTACCTCCCAAAGCACAATTCCAAGCGCATAAACATCACTAGCTTCGGTATGTCTTCCCATTTTGAGAAGCTCGGGTGCTTTCCATGGTAACGTGCCGACAACAGGTTCATGGGTAGACTGTTTTGAAGTTTCATGTCGAATTTTAGCCAGACCAAAATCGCCGATTTTGACGAGAAAGCCACGAGCATTGTTGGCCAAGAGAACATTGTGTGACTTTATGTCACGATGGATAATTGGTTTTGGAAGTGTATGTAAATAATTAATGCCTTTTGTCATTTGAAGAGCAATTGACCATCGATCAAGCCATTTGAGCTGCGTTGTCTCTCGTTTCAAAACATTGTGCAATGAGCCAAGGTTCATGTATTCGACAACAAGTGCATACTTTTCTGGTTCTATGCAGGCGCCGTACATGCTGAGAATATGTTCGTGGTGAATTTGATTCATCGTCGAAATTTCTTTCATACAATCCTCTTTAACGTTTTCGCTCAGATATTGAATCCGAATAACTTTTATAGCTACTTCCTTATCTTGAGAAAGCCATCGTCCACGATAAACATCAGCAAATCCACCCTGTCCAATATATTCTTCTTGTAGCAAATCATAGTAGGGGATACACAGAACAAAATGCTTCTTATCGACTGCTGTCGTGGCTATACCAGGATCATTTGCTTCAATAATATTTTGTTCAAGGTGATGTTTATATGATTTGTATCGTTGTTTAGTGTTATTCTTAATGCTTTGAAAATGATGAAGCTCTTGCTGTTGGTGTTGTTCCATCTTTGATGCAATCTCATCGATTTTATACTCAATAGCTTTCATATCATTTCGTTGATCAAGTTCATCCTGTTTGTGATCAAAAATCTGTTGTAAATTAATTTCCAAATTAAGATCGGTAGCGCACTGCAAAATTTGAGCATTCAAATTCTCAAATTGAGACTTGGAATTTTGACTGTTAAACACTTTAAGGAACCACCACATTTCGCCCTGAAATTTTGTGACAAATGCAAGACATTGCTCAATGCAGATACAGAAGTTCATGAGAGATTTTTTCAATTCCGACTTTTGGAAACCTGTGTAATTTATATGTTGCAAGACAGAAGTAATTGTATCGATTCTTTCTTCAAGTCTCTTGCATTGGTTTACATTCGCCTTCACTTGTTCAACGGTTCGTTTTAATGTTGTTGCGGTCTGATAAATAAGCTTTTGAACAATTCCCGTATCTAGATCAGCCAATGATTCCACTTGGAACACTATACGAAAAGAAATCAAAAATTTTGTTTCCCAGCAAAATATTCCTTTTTTCTATTTATGAAAACACAGTGATGATCGATTCTCTTTTCTGAACTGGCAATGCCTATTACTACTTTGTTTACCTTTGTTTGTGATGTTTGTTTGTGGAGATTGATTTCTGCTCTCGAGTGATTTCTGATGCAATTGAACGCTCTTATTGTAGTGACCTTGTTGAGAAGCAATCTTGCTGAGCTCCGCATACAAAACATTTAGTAACGGATCTTCTGGTGAAATTTCGTCCACCAAGCGATTATAATATTTTTCAGCTAGATCTGGTTTGCCCATGGTCCATAACAATTTACCCAATGTATGAAAACTTGTTTCTCCAATTCCATTTTGATGCTTCATATCAGTAAGAACTGACTTCAAATCGTGTTCATCATCACTACATAATGTCATATGAACTATCCAAACTTGATTATCAGTATGAGTGATGTTGTTGAGACGAAAAATAGAACCGAGCATAAAAAGTACCTCTGATTCATTTGTAAAACAACTATACATGTTAATGTCAGCGAATGGTTTTGAAGAAACTATTTCAGGATCGGCTTCGATTTCAAATAATACTCGCTCTAAAGCAATTTTCTGGGATTGGTCACCCATATAGAAGAGAGCTACTGGACGCTCGTTACTAGTGGAAAGAAATGAGTTCATAGAAATAAACTGGCCAATATATTTCTCAAGATATCTTAACTCGTCGATCGACATCAATTGACTTCGATAAACTCGCATCGGCTTCTTAGATTGAAGATACTGCAATTGACGATGGATATCCGAAATAAATGAACGACACAGAAGGATCATGCGAATATCCTGTTTACGCAGTGCTGCGTTCAAGATTCTGTAGAAGAATGAGTCATAAGTGTACCACCACAAAGCTTTATTTGATGTATAATCCTTTTCAAACTCTTCTATTTTACTGAGTTCGGAGCTGTTCCCTTTGTATTCGGTTTTCAAGGAAGAGATCAGTTCTTCTCGGTCAAGATCGTTGGATTTCAATCGAAGCAGACAATCGATAAGTACCTGAGAAAAAACGAACTGACCATCGATTACTCTTGCTGATTGACCTGTAGATAACATATTCATCGATAACGGTTCTTCCTCTTTCATGCAAATCTTAACGTCCACTTTCATTCGAGAAACAAGTTCATTGATGTCAACAGCCACGGCCTTCACCTAATCAAATACATAATCTAATTAAGTCAATACCAATGCATGCTTACCTTTGAAAACTTACTGCACCATTGTTCATCGGTTTTGCCTTCTTCACAGTATACATAAATCGATAAGACTTGCCGAAGTTTATGAATAGAAGACACCATTTCTTGACTCAATTTATTGCTAACAACAAGCACTAGTCGATCTTGTTTTGATCTTTGTTCAATGTATTGTTGACATTCTTTTGCATCTTGAAATTTCTTAAAATGATTGATGATACTACGCAGTTTTACTTCGGTATCCTGCCTATCCTTCATGTTATTATTGGTGTCAAGCCAGAGAAGGCTGAATATTTCAAGATGATTGTCGTTAACATTTGGAAACGATTCATTATTGGATGACATATCTGTAGTTATATATTGCCAGAAAGAACAAAATTGATAGTTAGAATAGGTTGAATTATCTAATATTCGCCTATGCTATTATGGATTGAGACAAAACCAGACAGATACGAGCTCTATCTAAAACGAAAAACGTACAACAATGTAGAATTATGTTCATTGCTACTAAATCCAACCTTTTTTGCGACACACTTCTGCCTACATGAAATGCATCCATATGGAAAACAGCATTTATGAGCAGGACGTATTTCGTTTTGTTTGTAGAAATTATTCACATTCGAAAAATATACAAAGTTAAGTTAACAGTGTTAGTCCTGAAAGAAAAGTTGTTCAAATAATCTACATGCTGCACATCACGTCTGATAAATTCTCATTAATTACCAGCAAACTTAGATACGGTTTGGTAACATATGGGTCATTCCACCAGAAACCACCAGATTCATCTGGCGACCAAGCCATACTTTATTCAAAGTAACAGGGTTTGTAGAGAATTTTGCGCTGATCATTTTGGTAATAAACCTTTTTGAAGTAACTTGTATTTTCGCGAAGATACAGGTCAAATACAAAAAGTACACTTTTCTTTTTTAAAGGGAATTAAAAAAGCATTCCTTTTGAAAAAGTGATGAAAACCTCATTTTTGTCACTCGAATTTTAAAACCAACCACATATTCAGAATCTTTGTGAAACACTGCATCAAAATCTGTAGGAATCGAAATAATTTTGAAGAATTTTTACGAACTACTAGGCCGTTTTCCGATGTACTAGTGAGGAACAGTGTTTGAAAAAATCTGTGTGACTTAGCAGTTCGATAGAGCGAAACTTGCTCTGCAACATGTACGAGTTCGTTTTCTTCTCCACTGCGATTTGAGGGCGCGAAAGCTCGAAAGCTGTTTTCTATGACAATCTATCGTGAATTTATTAGTCAAATCTCATTTTTTTGCTTTATTAAGTAAATTCAAATTTCTTGAAACGTTCAGGACTTGTAGAGTCATTTTCGTTTAGTATTTTGGTATTAAATTATTGAATGTTCGCTTTTATTTTCATAGAGATACGTGTCAAATAATACGAGGCTGACTTTTTGAGAATGTATTAAACTCTAGATTCACTTCATCAGAATGGAAGAAAACTTTCAGAGTTTGTAGGGCTTTTATCTGTTAGCACAGCTGCAGATTCAAAAACTTTTGAAAATTATGCAAAGAGGGCTGAATGAGGACAAAATTTTCGATCTCTTACCCAAAACTTCATACCTGGAATATATCCGTTTTAAATGATAGACATGTGAAATCTTTTGAATAGATACTATTCAATGAGGTGATCATTTTATTAAGCGGGTACATTTTCGTTCGACGTTTCCTTTGTACTAAAATGGTTCTAACTATAATGAACTTTTTTCAGTTTTTGGAGGCTAAATATTTTGAACAAGACACTATACATAATCAATAAATTTATATGCGTTAGAATAGGCATTCAATGCACTATCTGGATATCAGATTCGGATAGGTTTCCAACCA